GAGGTTTGTTGAGCTTCCTGAATCTGTGGGTTTACGGTTTTCATTAAATTTTAAGTTTTTTTAGTCATTATTTCTTAAAATATTTTTTCTTCCTTCTCCTGTCCTTTGAGAATTGTAATTAGGCCACATGAATTTGTTTCACAGCTCACTGATCCTCTTTGTTTGATTCTCTTTTCTATCTTATTTTGTTGCATAGTATCTATTGCTGTGTCTTCATGTTCACTAAACTTTTCTTCTGGGATGTTTAATCTTCCATTAATTCCATCCAGTGTACTTTTCAATCTCAGACACTGTAGTTTTAATCTCTAAAAACTCAGTTTAGATCTTATTAATATATTCCACATCTCTACTTTACATGATCAATTTTTCCTGTAGCTTTTGGACATATGGAATACAGTTATTGTAATTATCTTAATGTCCTTGTCTGCTAATTCTAATACGTGTCTTTCTGAGTCAATTTTTATTTGTTGATTTTCTACTCATTATGAGTCCTATTTTACTGTTTCCATGCATGGCAATTTTTGATTGGATGCCAGACATTGCAAATTTTACCTTGTTAAATGCTGGATATTTTTGATTTGTATAAATATTCTTGAACTCTGTTCTGGGATGTAGTTAAGTTTCACAGAATCAGCTTGATTTTTTAATGTCTTCCTTTTAAAATTTGTTAGGCAGGACCAGCTCAGCATTTAGTTCAGGGCTAATTATTCCCGAATACTGATTCAGGACCCTTCTGAGAAGTCTCCCTAGTGCCCTGGGAATTATAGGTTTTCTGGTCTGGCTGGTGACAGCAGGCATTATTATCTGCCTTGTGGAAGCATCTGGTACTCTTCTCTCTCATCCTTTCAGATGGATCTCTCTGGCTTTGAGTAGTTTCCGCATATATATGCACTGATCATACATATACTTAAGGGAGATCTTTGTAAATATCCAGCATTCTTTGTGCAGCTCTCTCCTGAGAACACTATTCTGTGAATTTTAGCCACTTTGATCTCTCTGGACTCTTAGTAATGTCTCCTCAACAGAGAACCTGCCAAATTCCACCTGGATTCCCACTCCCTGCATCATGGCCTTAATTTTTTTTTCAAGGCACTAAGTCAGGGCAATCATTGGTTACCTTGTTTATTTTCTACCTCCAAGAATCACTGTCCTTCACTGACTGATGTCCAGTATCTTAAAAACATTGCTTTCTATCTTTTCTCCAGTATTTCAGTTGTTTTAGAAAGGAGAGTAAATCTGGTTCCTCTTAGTCCATCTAAGCTGAATACAGACATTTTGGACTTTGTATTTAGCTCTCATTTTTTAAAGAGGGGAGTGGCATCAGTTCTCATTTCCTAGCTGTATAACTTTGGTAAATTACCTAACTTCTCTGATCTTTATATTTTTCCATGTGCAAATAGGAATAATAGTGTTACAATGATTAAAATTACATTGATGAAAGGCATTCAGCACAAGGCTTGGCATATGGTAAAAACTCTAATAATGGAGACTATTTTTATTATCCAGATTAAGGGTTTAAATCAGATGACATCTGCAGGCTATTCCAGACCTAAATTTTTATGATTTTATTAATTCAGTTTTGAAAATTACATTGCATAATTTAAAAAACTAAAGTGTGCCCACAATATTCATTTTAGCTGTGTATTTATTATACATAAATGAAAATTGAAATTTGTAAATGACAACTTTATCCCTGTCAAATTTTATTTCACAAGTTGTCCTTTTAAATTTCACTGAAATACACTACGAATTATTAGGCCATTTGGTTTTTCCATTTTGAAGAAGAATTTAAGATTTTTTTTTTGCCTCCCCCCCTCAGTGCTAGAATTGTTTCTTAAAGTAAACTTTTTCTCCCTGTATTTTCACTATCAATCCATTTGCTTAGCCAGGAAGTAAGTTTTGTTTAACTATTGGTTTCTAAAAACTCTATGTACTTTTACAATGGGGGCAATAGTATAATTTTAAAGTGTTCCATGATGTAATACCTTAGTAATAATCTATGAAAATATTTGGTTGGAATTTGTTTATGGCACTGCAAAGTGATAGTAAGAGACTACCATTTATTGTAAGCACTCTGGCTATAGATTTTTTAATCACAACATTTTAGCTGAAAAGTAACAACACTTCATTTGGAGCCAGTTTTAAATGTTCAGCATGCACGTTAACTTGCTTTCCTCACATCAGAACAATACTTGAAAAAAACAAAAATCCATGACAATTAGTAAATATGCAGTTATTTTAAAATGTGCCATCCTTGTTGCATAGCAACTATTGATTCTATTATGTTCTTTTTATATACTCTAAAATAATTAAGCACAGGCACAAATTGCTATCTACTTTTTTTTGAATGTTAAAAGCATTTAAGTTACGAAGTTTATTTTAATATGTGTATTATATATTTGTAAAGGGAACATTTCATTCCTACGCAGAGGCACAGTGACCCAAGAAAGAGACGACAATGTTATATTAGCGATTCTTCTTTCTCATGAGAGGACTTTCAGGGAACTTTTTATTCATAGTCTCAGTAACTAACAACCAAGCATAACTGGCATTTGTTGACTTTATTGCTCTGGATCTTGATTTACTGCTAAGCTAAATGATAAGATCTATTAACAAGAAGTCATGCCCTTTCAACAAAATGAAATGTCCATTTTTATTACAGAGAATTATACAGGCCAAAATACATCTATGATATAATTAATCTATTAGAAAGATATCATGGCCTTTTTTTTAGCATTTTATTTCATTAATTTCTTTTTGAGGGAGGAGGTAATTAGGTTTATTTATTTATTTATATTTGGAGGAGGTACTGGGGATTGAACCCAGGACCTTGTGCATACTAAGCATGTGCTCTAGCACTTAAGCTATATCCTCCTTACTTCGTGGTTTTAATAAGAGCTTAGAGAATCTTACATAAGTTTATTTTCATTAACAAATCAACTTAGCATAAAGCAAGAACCTAAAACTTTTAGATGGTCAGATGCTAACACTAACTTGCTGCATTAGCACTTCAGGGATGGGCACAGTGAGCAGCAGTACTAGAGTGGGTCATGAATGCAGAGATTCCACATGTAGATTATATCTGAAGGTTCTTGGTGGGTGTGACCATGGAGATGAGGAACTTCTTACATAAGCAAACGCAAAAAAGTTCACTCTGTCAATCTAAGAGGAGCTCAGGAGCTTGAGGGAAAGGAAAGATCTGTGAATCTCCATCCACATTAATTCCATCAGTGAAATTTCTGAGTCAAAATATGGGACATTTACAATATCTATATATATTGCCAAGCTTCCCTCCAAAAGATTGCTGTAATTTTCAGTCCCTTAAACAGTTAAGAATGAAAGACTAACTCATTAGACGTTCACTACAACATAAAACTGAAGTAGTAAAAAATAATCTCTGATTGCTTTAATTTGAATTTTTTTGATTGCTAGTTAGGTGGATCATCTTTTCATATTTTTAAACATGGATTGGTAAGTATCGGGGAAGTGAATAAGAACAGACTAGCCAAATGAGTACACTGAGGCTAAAAAAAATTAAAAAGAAATAAAGAAGTGTGGGCTTTAGAGAAGAAGGAAAAGAAAAAGCCTATGCTACAAAATAAAACAAAATAGTAATGAGACACTTAGAGCAACTTCAGTCCATACTCTCAAATTTTAATTGTTGCCTATATGGAACTGTCACTATAGTGATCATTTTTGTTATAGCCTGAATGTGCTGTCCCCAAAGGACAAGGGAAGGAAGACTGATTTATTCTCAGTACTGGCTGAGTATGACCAACTGTGTGAAGACCGGAAGTGAAAGTGATAAATTTAGAATTGACCTGATACAGCAACAATACCTAAAGGATTTCAATCTGTAGATAGCAGAGTGGGGGATTCCAGGTGAAGATGTTAGTTTGAAGGTAGCTACCACTGGTTGCTTGAGGTTACAAGTTATAGGGTCTAGTCACCAAGGAGAAGAATCCGATAACCAAATAAGTTGTCAGGGCTTCCGTCAAACAATCTGAATTTCAGAAGCCAGCTCTAGTTCTAGATGCAAGTTAAGGCATAATCAGAAAACCAAGACAGGAGGCTAGAGCTAGGGATAGGTGCTGGGAGGGGACGAGAAAACAGCGGGGAGGTTTTGACTCAGTGTGCACCATGAGGCCTAGAGATCAATCAGGAAGTATCAGAAGTTGATGACAGGGAGATGATGTCTCTACCTCCACAACTAGAGCTGTGTGCATGGCCTGAGAAGGCAGGGGCTAACAATTTAAAAAATACGATTTGTATTCTTTAAAATGATGAAAGCAACACACATTCATTGTTGAAAATTTGAAAAATATAGAAAAGCCCAAAGGCAAAAATCAATGTAATTTTTTCATACTCTAAGAACAAACATTTTCTTTGTAAGCAGTGAGCTAAATATTTATTCATTTTATTTGCCAAAAGTTCATACCTGAATAATTTTAAGTCATTTTTCATCCTGTTATATTATCTTCTTAAAAGCAGAGAAATTGTAAGAATGAATTAATATTCCCCTGCTTTTAGGATGTGGTCAAATGCAGATTCTGTCACTTTATGGGAAAAAAATGTAAATATTTAAAAGTAAAAATTACACTTTTACATGAGAATCAAGAGGTATCTTCATCTTACATAATTTCAAATTATATTTTTATCTTTTTATTTCCCATTTGTTGTCTAATATTTTTGAAAACACATATATCATAAGCATGTTTGGTCTAGGAAATTCCAGAAAGAATCAAAAAAGTGCATAGAAGCAGGGAGGGTGTAACTCAGCAGTACAGTACCTGCTTAGCATGCATGAGGTCCTGGGTTCAATCCCAGTACCTCCATTAGAATAGTAAAAAAAATAAGTAAACCTGGTTACAACACCCCCCCACAAACAGTTTTTAAAAAAGTGTGCCTAGAAGCAAATAAATCTATCTGAAGTAGTCTGATAAATGGACAGAATTTTTAAAAAGTAAGACACATTCTACTGAAAGCCACATTATTGTTACCTTCTCCCTCCAGTTATCATTCAACAGCTTCTGTCTAAGGGTTTCCTGTAGCTGCTCGATGCTTTTCTGATGTGAAATTAGCATCGATTCCCTGAAAACCATAAACACAACAGATGAGTCAAGAGTCACCGCTAACACTCTTCTGAAGTTGTAGTTCCTGCGTCAGAGAATATTATTTCACAACTCAGTCTGTTTATTCTCTTCAGCAATAAATATATGCTGCTATTATATATCCTTTTAACTGTTGTTAACAGCTATTTAAAAACACTGCCAACAAGGTAAGTATTTTCTTAGGTTTAATTTTTGCTTAATAAGTAATACTATTATTTTTGCTTGAAATAGTAACAACATATGTGGAGTCACAAAAATAGTAAAATATCATACACTGTGGTTCCAAAGTTTATGACTAAATTCTAGCACTAGACAATATTTTGTTTCTTTAAAAAAGGAAAATATGTTGGGATATGCCACAAAATCAGCACGTTTGTGGTTCCTGCTAGATTTATTTTTCTTTTATTTATCTCAAATGCTGATAGGAAAAAAACTGAATTAAGTAGAGGGTAAAGCCTGAGATGCTATATGGTACAAAACGTACTAGAAAATAGAAAACACAAAGAACAATTTAATCCACGTAATTGGATCTTAAAGCTTAGTTTGTGATCCTCCAGGTGGAAGTAAGAGTGATAGACTCATGAGAACATTTCACAGGGGCATTGGAATTGAGCCTTTAAATATTACAAATCGTGGCAAAAGCATGCCTGTTGATCAGGACTTCCCCCCCGCCCCCTACTTATAATCACCATGACCCTTCTCATTTTCTATGTAGGTGATTCCTCCCTATTGCTTATTCCTCTTTCTAAACCCTTTGTTTTCCATCATCACCCTCTTCCCTTTAGCTCTGACCCCTTTTCTGAAACTTGTGACTTTTATTTATAACTGCCTGTTAGACATCTCCACTCTAATGACTCATCAACAGTAAAGATTCCACATGTCAGAACACAAACTCATCATCATCTTCTGCAGTTTGCCTTTCCTTTTGACTTCTGAAACCTTCAAAAGTCAGAGTCTTTAGCTTAAAATCCCTGAGTCATCTCTGACTCTTCCTTCTTGTTTTACTACATCCATTCAATAACAAGTTCTAAATATTTTGCTCCTTGGTGCACCTCAAACTATTTCCTCCCTTCCTTTCCCACTACTAACAGTTAAGGTTCTTGACTTTATTTCCCACCTAGAGTATTGTAATAGACTCTCAATCTACTTATTGATCTCTATCCTAGTCTCACTTCTGCAATATTATTAAACATTTTCTTACCATAATAAAAATAGTGTCTACATTTCTACATTAGAAAATTTTAAGGACCCAGATATAAGACACATTTGACTTGGTAACCAGGATTATGAATAGCATTTGAGGGAAAATGATTGAAAAGAACAAAACTTCCCAGACTTTTTCTCCCCAGAAGTGTGTCGGACTAGTTACCTTGACAACTTTCCTACTGAAAATAAGTATTTTTTTCTTATTAAAAAAAATCTTAAAATTCATCAGTGATCTGGACAAAAAAGTGAAAAAGACTCAGGGAACAAAAATCAAGTGAAAACGGAAAAATATTATCAGTGGAAAACTAGTGAAGTCTGAAAAAAGTGTATAGGTTAGTTAATTATATTATACCATGTTAATTTCTTAGCTTTTACAGATGTGCCATGGTTATGAAAAATGGGCCAAAGGGAAACATAAACTCTCTGTACTGTCTTGGTAAATTTTCTGTTAATGTAAAATTATTCTAAGCTAAAGTTTTTTAAAAATGAAGTGGAAAGAAGAATACCAACAGTAAGCAGAGCACTGAAGCCAAATATCACCGTGAAGGTACTTTCCAAATTTGATGAATTTGAGCTTTAAATTTCACAGCCATGAAGGGCACTGGAGTCAGGAGAGAAGGAAGAATCTAAGAGGAAACTCACCTGCATAAAACTGCATCTCAAAGAGTGATACATGCAGTAAGTCATTTTTGTCATACTATATGTCAGAATATGAAATTCCCACCTAGTGCGTATGAAATACAAATAACACCTCCACTCAAGGAACAAAAAGGAGATTACTGGCTTTGAATTCTGGTGCTAGGTAGAGGGGGAAATACAAATCTCCCACGAGAATTTGTAAACACAAGCCAATCCTAAAGCAGGTTTGTATCCTGAATTCACACTACCTGAGTGGCCCAAAAAGCTTCATATTAAGAAGATACCTTAACATTGTGTTAGGTTAACCTTGCCTCCAGATGCCTGGTAGGAAAAACACCAGTATTTTGGGGGAGAAATCTATCTTCAACCTGAGACTTAAAGAATTCCTACAGATAAGGATTCAAGACCTATGACATCATAAGTTTTAAAACCACAAAATTATTTTTTAAAAAAGTCAGTAAGAAGAAGAATGAGCAGACACAAATGATAGTATAATCAAACTCACAAATTCTAAAGTATTGAATTTTCAGATATAGAATATGAAATAAGAATGTTCAACATGTTGGAAGAAATAAAATATTAATTTAAATGACTAATGAAATCTGAAAAGATCAATTGAACTTGTAGAAATAAAAATATAATAATTGAAATGAAAAGCTCAGTAGATGGTCCTATAGCATATTATTCACAGCTAAAAAATGAAGTAAACTGAAAGGGAGATTCAAAGAGATTATACAGGCTGCACTACGTAAAGTCAAAAATATGGAAAATATAAAAAAGAAGTTGATACATGGAGGGTAAAGGGAAAAGATCTAATATTTATCTATTTATCATTTCAGAAGCAAAGGAGAGAGAAAGGAGAGGAAGGATATTACAAATGAAAAACACCAACCCGCAAATCTAGGAAGCCCAAAGGATTCCAAGCAAGATAAGTAAAAATAAATCTCATAACTCAGCACTTGGTAGTGGAAATGAAGAATATCAAAGTTAAAGAGACCTTAAAAGAAGCTGGAAAGAAAAAAACCCAGATTATCTTCAGGAACCCAAACATACTGAAAACTTATTCGCCAAAAGAAACAAAGGAGGCCAAAGACAGCAAAATAATACATTCAAAGTCCTGTGAGAAAATAACTGTCAATCTGAAGTTGGGTACCCAGCAAAACCATCTTTCAGAATGAGGCTGAAATCAAATATGCTCAGAATAATAAAATCTGAGTGTTTACTACTAGCTAAAGGACTTCTAAAAAACATGCTTTGCAGGAAGGAATATGATCTCAGAAGGAAGGCCAGGCATGCAAGAAAAAATGGTAAGCAAAGAAACTGGCAAGCACACAGGCAGGGAGGGCATCTTGGGCATGTGATCAGGACAGTGTACAGGGCTCATGTTCCAAAGGGGTCCCTGCACCTCAGGCTTAATGCTCTGTGGCCACCACTGAGAATTCTTAATCATTTTATCTTTGAATCTGTGTTTTGTAAGTGAGGTCTGCTGGGACAATCAAGCATGTGCCAGGGGTTTGGAGCCTTGGCTCACACAGTCCTACCTCCCACCACCTCCCTGCATCCCCAGGATGGTTCTCAAACCTCTGCTCCCTGACCCTTGCCCAGCATTTGCTGCGATCCTCCACTTCCAGTGGGGATGCAGACCTGGGCATGGGCATAGGGAGGGCTGGGAATCCCATGTGTGCTCCCTTTGCTGAGTCTGGGGCAGGGCCTTGGTACCTGTGAGAACCCGCACCCATTCTATGATTTCTCTGTGCCCAAGGAAGCACAAGATTCAACAGCAAACAAACAAAAATACCATGATAGACTGAGAGACAGTGAAGGAAAAGAAAAAGCTGCTTTTTAGTTTTCTGAAAAAGGGGCCCCACATTTTCATTTTGCTCTAGGCCTTGAAAATTACGTAGCCAGGCTTGCATGTAAGTACTTGTAAATAAATATCATATGTATAACATGTTAGTTTTGACTGTGTGTAATTAGTTGGGCTAACAAAAAGACAGAACTAGAACACTAGACAAAAATGTAGAATATGTGTCAGGATGGCAACTATCAGAACTCAAGTGTTTTTTGGTCCTTGTACTATTCAAGAGGAGTTTAAAATATTAATTTTAGACTTCATTAAGCATGCATGGTAAAATTTCAAAAAAACCACCAAATGGATAGAAGTAGAATATGCCATTAGAGGAAACTGCACTAAGAAAATAAAAGAAACTCCAACAATACTACCTGCCCCCAAAGGCTCAAAAGGAGAAAAAGTGAAGAAAAAGAGAGAGAAATAGAAAGCTTAAAGTAACAATCATAATAATGGTAAATAAACTAGACTCATGAGTTCAAAGAGAAAGAGGCTTGATAAAAACAAACTTTGGCTATATATGTTCTGTATAAGAGATATTCCTAAAGCATAAAGATATGAAAATATTTCCTTTTTTGGAGAAGATTTAACAGAGAAATATTAAATAAAAGGAAGTACTCAACTATATTAATATCAGACAAAGTAGATTTTAAGACAAAAGTCATTACTCAGGGCTGATAATGCTAACAGATTAATACACCATGTATATTCTAAACTTATAAGCACCTTTTAAAATAGCCTTAAAATATATAAAGTAAAACTTTATAGAACTTTAAGGAGAAATTGTCAAACCCACACCATAGTGGTAGAATTAAACACAGCTCCCTCAGTTATACTAAATCAATCTGGGACCACCATATAAGTCATGGAAGTGTACACTGCCCAATTCCAGGCTGTTATGTGAATGGCCCTCCTGTAATGTGTAATGTAGCAACCTAGAATCAAGCAAACAAAAAACTAATTAAAAATATAGAGGACTTAAACAATGCAAATAATAAGAATGATTTAAGGTACTCACTTAGTAAGAAAATACGTAATTATTTTTCAGCTCACATGGAATTCATCACATATTAGGCCAGAAAGGAAATTTCACAAATTTAAAATAATTATTATACTATAAACCTGTATAGTCCAATATAGTAGCTACTAGCCACATGTAGCTACTGAGCACTTAAAGTGTAACTAGCCCAAATTAGGATGTGCTGCAAATGTAAAATACACATCAGATTTGAAAACTTAGTACAAAAAACCCTAAAATGTCTATGATAATTTTTAAAAGATGATTA